ACCATTCCCATCCCATTGGACACCTCTGGGATTCCATCCTGGGCTGGAACCATTCCCATCCCATTGGACACCTCTGGGATTCCATCCTGGGCTGGCACAGAGGGAATGATCAGATTTCATTTCTGAGCTCCCCAAACCCATCCAAGCACGAGGAAGGTGCCCCCACCCCGGGGCCGGAGCCGGGCTTTGCTTTGCTCTGTTTTCCCACTGTTTTTATTCTCTCATTCCTCACTGGAATTCCTCCTCCTGCTCAGGTGGAGATCAACCTGAAGCGTTACCCCACGCCGTACCCCGAGGACCTGAAGAACATGGTGAAATCCGTGCAGAACCTGGTGAGCAAACCCAGCCTGGGCGTGCGGCCCGAGAGCGCCGTGCCCAGCGCCAACCCCGAGCCCAGCGCCAAGGACAAGTACGAGCACAAGTGGCCCCTGACCCCAAAGGAGATCTCTGTGGAGGTAATGTTGGGGATCTTGCTCCTTCCCACTCATTTTTAGGGGTTTTGAACTTTGCCAAGTGATGTTTGGATCTGCTGGGATCCTCACACCTCAGAGAAATCATTGTTTCCCCCGTAAGGTTTTGTTGGAGTTGCTGGGGTGTGCTCGGGTTTGGATTGAGTTGATGTTTTTCCCAGTGCTGCTGAATTCCTAAAGGATTTTATCCTAGAATCCATCACCAAAGGGAAATTCYTAAAGTTCTATCCCAGGATTGATCACCAAAAGGGAAATTTTAAAGTTCTATTCCATTATCMATCACCAAAAGGTGAATTCCTAAAGTTCTATCCCAGAATCGATCAYCAAAAGGKRAATTCCTRAAGTTCTRTSYCAGRATCGATCACCAAAAGGKRAATTCCTAAAGTTCTATCCCAGGATCCATCACCAAAAGGTGAATTCCTAAAGTTCTATCCCATCTGGATATGATGTATTCCCATCTGGAATTTAATCCGTGTGGCCTGGCAGAGGTTTCAGGTGTTTGGCCCTGTGGTTGGTGATGTGGCCTCCAGAAATCAGCAGTTTGTTGATGTTTGTTAAAATAACGTTGAATTTTTCAATGAAAACCTGAACACCCCCATGGGCTGAGTCCCAGTGGTGTCCTGGGAGCTGGCAGAGCCAGGGAATCCTCCCCCAGGAGTGTCAGGAAGGAGGAAATGGCAGTGACCCCATAAAGTATAATTCCAGTGACCCCAGAATGTCCTGCAGAGACACCCCTGGGCTTTATGGGGGATTTGGGAACTTCAACCTGAATCAGGAGCCAAAACCTCTGCACAAAGAGCTGCATGGCTGCATTCAGAACCCAGGCTGACAATTGATCCCATTAAATAATGGGGTTTGTGGTTTCCTCCCTCCTCCTCTCCCAAAGCCAGGGCTGTGAGCTCTCCCCGTTCCCACAATCTGCATTAAAAGGATGGGGAAATTTCAGATTTCAGATTTCAATTTCCCTGATGGAGACTGGCACCACAAGGATTCCATTAGCTCAGGAGAAGGAAAGGAACATTCCTGTCCTCCCCAACACTCTGTGGCTCCCATAAGGGGTGCAGATCCATTTTCTTCTCCCTGCACTGGGATAAAACACCCGGGGAGCGCAGGCAGGTCGTGAATGGATCCATGAACAATACTGGCCTGATTTCACTTGTAACCCATTAAATAAAACATCATTAAGCCCCATTTGCCGTGCAGATAATTAGCAGACAGACTCCAGCTCGAGTTGGGGCTCACTTTGAAATCGCAGGTGTGCTGAGATGGGGCTGAAGGCACTTTCTGATCCCAGGTAATTGAATTTCAGGTGCAGCACTCACTTCTCCTGCTCACATAAGCCCGTTTCTGATCCCTTTTGGCTTTCCCTGCAATTAATTTGCACGTGGCYCTTCAGAAACTGTTTCTGAATAATGAAAGGGAGCATCTGGAGTGAGGAACAAGCTGCATTTCAAATCCTCTGCGCCATCCTTCACCTTCATCCACAACGAGCAAACAATGCCTTGATTAATCATCAGTTCAAACCAACCTCTTCATCATCCTAATTCTTTTGAAAGATGGGAGTTTTTTGCCAAAGAGGAGTCTGAGATTATTTAGGAAGTTGGGCTGCTTTTCCATGAGAAGTGATGAGGAATATCAAAATCAGMGAGTCAGGTCTTTACAGTTCAAGTTTTTGATGTATTTGGATGGAAAAAATCCCACATTTCCTCTGTCTCAGCGCTTCCACTCCAAGCAGAGCCTTTATGATCTTTGTGAGTGGACCCCAGGACTCTGGGCACTCCAAAAATCCCATTCCTCGGGATTATATAAATTATAATTTAACATTCTTGTGTTCTCACCTGAGTATTTGGTGATATTTCTCTCCCCAGTTATTTCAGAGGTTTGTATTTTGCATTTTCTCCTCCCTCAATTCTCTCTCCTCTTCCTGCATCCTTCCCCAGCTCRTCCCGAGGAACAAATCCTGGCTCAACACAATTGCATTTCTCTCTTCCCTTTCTCCGTGCAATTTTCTTCCCATTAGTGACCATTTTGTTCTTGAGCTTTCAAGTAAAAGACTCTCATAAAGAGAATGGAATTAAATGGAATATTTGGAGTTTTTACAGCATATTTCACATATTCMTGGCAGATTCACAAGTGCCAGAGTGGTTCTTTCAAAAGTTACTGGTTTTTGTTGGAATGACTGGATTTGGGGGTAAAAAGAAAAGGAAAATGCTGTAAAATAGGGAATTTCAAGGAATGGAATGAAACCTTGAACTCGCYATCTTGTCAAAAATACAACTGCTGGGTCTCCCTCTCCTACAGCAAGGGGGGCAGTTTAAGCTTCAAACTCCCAGAGCTTTCATGGCACAATATTGGGGTTCCAGGTTCAAGATAAAGAAACCAAAGAGCCCCCCAGGACCCCTCTGTGTGACCCCGAGAGTGCCCCGCAGCCCCCCATGGCAACCCCGGGCAGGGAGGACCGAGCCCAGGGTGCCCAAAGCTCCGAGGTACAGCCAGCCCTGGGCTCCACAGGTGGAGAACCTCCCTCCTTCCCTTCCCCTGGCACCTCCCTGCACTCACACCGCCCAAAAAAATGGGGCTGTGCACCAATTTGTCACCCTGCACCGTGRGCTGGCTCTGGGGGTGGCACCGGGCACGAGGGGACCCCGGGAATGCATGGGGAAGGGAATTTTTGGGGGATGGATCACTGTGGAACTGTGCTGCCCTAAATACCAGCTTGGTCAAAGCTCTTCTGGGAAGAGAATCCAAAGATTGGAATGGCTCTGCTGTAAACAGAATTAAATTCTCTAAAGGATAAATCACCTGGCAAATGCTGCTGCAAATCTCCATCAACTACAAGGAGTAAATGATGAGTAAACCTGTGAAAGCTTCCTCCTTGGAAGTAAAAACAAGATGTTGAAAATGTTGTAGCATTTTACGTTCCAGCAGGGTGGATTTGGTTTGGGTGCTCCGGTTTCAGTTGYTTCTCTGATTATTGCATCTCTCCCTTTGTGCCCAAATTCACCAGAGAACCTTCACCAAGGACAGGGCAGGGTACAGAGATCCCCCCAGGACACTCATCCTCCTCATCTCTGAGCTTCCAAAAAGGCCCCAAAATTCCTGTTGGTGCCTTCAGCTCATGGAGCTTACCTAAAAGAGAGGCTGGACATAATCCAGAGAATAAAATAAATTCTGTTATKGCAGGGCCATTCGGGGCAGTCCCACACCCACAATGGACAATGCTCACGGGTTTTTCACCCTTTCTCACTTTTGTCCATTTGCACAAAATCGGGGCTGAATCCTCCAATTGCAGCTGCAGCCAATGCAGTCATTGACTCCAAATTGGCTCTACCCAATTCTCTGGGGGGGAATATCTTATTTTGGGGCCTGGCCCAGGGAGGTGTCCTTGAGTTTGGGGCTGCAGAGGAATTGTTTTGTGTGAAAATGTGAGAGCAGGAGCTCAGCACTGTCTGTGCAGTCTGGAGTTAAACACTGAAGAATCCCAGAGTTACAGAGATGTGGAAATAGAGAAACTGAAAATGTGAGGCATCGTAAGCACCCTGCGAGCCTGGATGTCCCAGTTTAACACAACTCTTTCTAGGAACAGCGCCACTTCCCTCCCCCGCTTCAACCGGTGCTATTTTCAGCACACCTCCTGTTTGAAGGTCAGATGTGCYGAACTCTCAGGCAGAAGTTTATTAAATCCAGATCATTTTAATTCAGCCACCAGCTCCTCAGAGACAAAGCCATTTTAATTATGGACATCTCCAGGGGAACCTCTGGAAGGACTCACCACAAATAACCGGGCGAGGAATCCTCCCTCCTCAACTGCCAATTGTTTACTCTCAATTTGTGTTTATTTCTCAGCGTTTTGGTGACCTTGACTCCATCAAAAATGTTTGCACAGCCTCGATGCATCCTGCCAGTTCCATCTGGTTTGTTCACATTTCTGGCACGAGCACGTCACCGTCACTTTGAGGGGTGTTTGTGTAGGATTAATCAGAATTTTCTGCGGGCACTGTTAGCAGTGGTGGGGTCAGGGTGTTTTAATGGTCACAGGGAAAAGGTTGGGATCTGTGTGTGTGCTGCAGTTTGAAGGATTTCAGTTCCCTGTGCTCATGGGTGTTGTTGTGTCCCTCAGGATCCCTTYGGACACCCCGCCAGCGAGATGAGGATAGGGGAGCTCCGTCCCTCCATGCCCGAGACGCCGCTCTATCCCCCCAAACTCGTCCTGCTGGGTAAAGACAAGAAAGGTACTGATGGCTTGGCAGCCTTTGAGATGAACTGGGGCGCGGGAGATGTTCCACCTCTGGCTGTGAACCTCAGCCCGTGGATATCTGTGCACGCATCGATAACAATCCGTCGCTTTAACGTGAAAAAAAAAAAAATAAATGTGTTTTTCTGGCGTTCCGCTGCCGAGTGCCRCCCCCTGAACGCGTTTGCTGTGTTTTGTTTCAGAGTCGACAGATGAGTCTGAAGCAGATAAGATCCATTGTCTGAATAACAGCGTTTCCTCAGGCACTTACTCAGACTATTCCCCTTCCCAGGCTTCCTCAGGCTCCTCCAACGCGCACGTAAAAATGGGCTCGCTGCAGACCACGGCTAAGGAAGCAGTGAATAACTCTTTGTGGGGGAACAGGTGTGACATCTTTCCTGACACGGCTTCCGTTTGCCTTTTGTCCCGTCCAGGGCTTCACGGTGACTCCGTCTCCTTGCTCAGGCGTTTTGGGTTAAAAAATCCCCGTTTTTATCTCCGTATTTCATAAGCACCGGATATCCCACAGCTGGTGCTGCCCCTAAGGAGGCGTTAAAGCTCCTGGAGATGGAGCTGCAGCCGCTGCAGTTGTTGTTCTGTCATTGCTCCTCTTCCCTGGACCTCCAGGCGGTTCTTGGAAAGCCATGACCCGCACTGGAAACATTCCAGGAGGATCCTGTCCCGTCTGTGCCAGGATCCCATAAATCCCCTCGTGTTCCACCCACGGCTCTGCCCCGTCACAGAGCTGGATGAGCACASGCACAAACCTTGGCATCTCCGGTGAAAAGGTGGGGAGAAGCCTTCTGTGTGGCTCATCCGTGATTTTCACAGCAGGGAGAAGTGCTCAGCGGGATTTTGGGAACACGGCTCGGAGCCAGCCGGGCCTCCGAGTGACTCCTTAGTTTCTCCGCGTGTGTCCTGACAGAATCTCTGCTCCAGGGTAAAATCCTGCTGCCACCAGTGGCACAGCACCCGTGGAGCTTCCAACAGCTTGAGAGTAGCTCGGGTGGTGCTAAAAACACCGAGGGGTCGGGTCTGGCTCCTGGGCTCGGTGATTCCAGCTGGGAACGCTCCGTGATGAGAATCCCCGGAGTCTCCCGCACGATCCCAAAGCCCGAGCGTAGGCGGGAGAGGCCGGATGGCTTCCCGAGGACGCCGAGCGCCGGCGTGCTGGGACAGAGGACATTTTATCTTGTTCCCTTCTCTTGTCCCCGCAGGCTGGCGCAGTCGTTCCCGCAGCCCCTGGAGACCAAGCCATTGCTGAGCCAGCGGGAGGCGGCTCCRGCCGGGAGCGTCCCGGCGCGCCCGGAGCGGCGCCCGCTGAGCGATGCTTTCACCGACAGCTGGAACGACGGCTCCCACTACGACAACACGGGCTTCGTGGCCGAGGAGAGCGGCGCCGAGAGCGCCGGCACCAACCCTCTGCTGAGCAGCAAGTCCAGGAGCTCCTCGGCGCACGGGCGCCGGCCGCTGATCCGGCAGGACAGGATCGTGGGGATCCCGCTGGAGCTGGAGCAGCCCGCGCTCAGAAACACACACGACTCTGAAGTGCCTCCTCCCAACCCTTGGCAAAATTGGACCAGAACCCCCAGCCCTTTTGAAGACAGGACAGCTTTTCCTTCCAAACTGGAAAGCACCCCCAACACCAGCCCTTTGCCCGAGCGGAAGGATCACRTCAAGGAGTCCCCCGAAATGACGGGCACTTTCACTCCGGGAATCCCGTGGGAGTACCACGACCCCGGCGCCAACAGGAGCCTCACGAACGTCTATTCCCACGTGCACTGTCGCCCGGACCCCGCCAAAAACGTCATCTCCATCAGCAAGAGCACGGAGCGGCTCTCCCCSATGATGAGGGATTTAAAAACGAACAAGTTCAAGAAGTCGCAGAGCATCGACGAGATCGACATCGGGGCGTACAAGGTGTACAACATCCCCCTGGAAAACTATGCATCCGGCAACGACACGGTGGGCCCGCACGAGAGGGTGGACAAGCTGCTGGGYCCGGAGCACGGCGTGCTCAGCATGTCCCGCAGCCAGTCCGTGCCCATGCTGGACGACGAGCTGCTGACCTACGGCAGCGTCAAAACGCAGCCGCAGCACCGCGCCTCGGCCGCCACCAAGAAGGTTTATCAGTTCGACCAAAGCTTCAACCCGCAGGGCGCCGTGGAGCTGCCGGCYGACAAGCGGCTCTTGCCTCCCTTCCAGCTCAACGCCGACTACCTGCCTCAACCGGCCAAGGGCCTGCCCCAGGAGCTGGTGAGCCCGCGGGGCTACCGCGGCTACGCGCCCGCAGAGCCCGTGTTCTCCTTCTCGCAGCCCTCGGTGGGCGAGGAGCCGGCGGCGGCGCCGTTCCCCGGGCCGGCCACTCGCCCCGGGTTCCTGCGCAGGGCGGACTCGCTGGTCAGCTCGGCCGAGATGTCCATGTTCCGCAGGGTGGCCGAGCCCCAGGAGCTGCCCGGGGCGGACAGGTACGGCCGGGCTGCGTTCCGCGGTGCCGCCGAGCGCCAGGGTGGAGTGGCCGTGCCCGAGGCGCAGTTCCTCAAGCGCAACGGGCGCTACGAAGACGAGCAYCCTTCCTACCAGGAAGTGAAAGCCCAGACCGGGAGCTTCCCGGTCAAAAACCTCACGCAAAGGAGGCCCCTGTCCGCACGAAGCTACAGCACAGAGAGCTACGGCACGGCCCAAGCGCGGCCGGTCTCAGCGAGGCCCACCATGGCAGCTCTGCTGGAAAAGATTCCGTCAGACTATAACTTGGGTAACTATGGCGACAAGCCTTCCGATAGCAGTGATATAAAGCCGAGGCCTCCCCCCGGGAAGGGAAATGAGAGCTGTGCTAAAATGCCCGCTGACTGGAGACAACAGCTACTTAGACATATAGAAGCTAGAAGGTTAGACAGGGTATGTTTGGCATTTCTCTGCAATTAATGCCTTTAGTTGTGTGTTTCGCTCTGTCAAACGATTTGCACGTGCAGTGGTGACCGCCAGAATTCCCAGGGATGAYGTTCCCKCCGTGGTGTCAGGGGGACCGGCCCRCCCRGGGCCCTGGGGGTGCTCAGCCGGAGTGAGGGGTCCCAGTAAATCCAGAGGAGCCTCACTGGTGACGGTCACGGGGGTGGAGACTGGATCCTGATTGCAGAGGCTCCACGCTGGTGGTGCTCCTTGGGGCACTTCACTGGAATGGAGACTCCAGATCCTGGGTAAACGCAGAGCTTCTGCCCCAGTGACAGCCCTTGGGACAGCCACTGGGATGGTGACTCTGGATCCCAGGTAAATCCAGAGGCTCCACACCGGTGACGTTCCTGGGTGCCTATCACTGGGATGGTGACTCTGGATCCCAGGTAAATCCAGAGGCTCCACACCGGTGACGTTCCTCGGTGCCCATCACTGATCCTGGGTAAATCCAGAGGCTCCACACTGGTGATGTTCCTCGGTGCCCATCACTGGGGTGGTGACTCTGGATCCCGGGTAAATCCAGAGCTCTGCCCCAGTGCCTGTCACTGAGGTGGTGACTCCTGCAGCTCTGCCCAAAATTAGGACAAACCCTGAGGTTCTGTCCCACTGATGGAAGCGCTGTTGGAGCCACCACGACAGTGACAACAGAGAGCTTGGAGAGGTGCTGGGCACGTCTTGGCAGTAAAAGGGAATAAAGGAAAAAGGGAATAAGTAATAAAATGTATTTTAGCGTTGGTGTCGCTGTCAGTGCAGGGGTTGAAAGGTGTCTGTGACCGAGGACCATCCCTGGGTGATAYCCACTGCACTGTTTCAATGGGAATGTGATCGTTACTCCTTGTAGCTGTAGGAAGTTATGCTGATTTGCCTTCTGTCCAAAGGGTGCTTTAGTGCATGATTCAGCCATTACCTGTTTAATGACCTAATCCGTGAATCCGATTTGCTCCGGGGTGGTGAAATGCCATTAGAAGCCAGTTGTGTCCTGTGTGAGTGTTCTCCTCACCTTCCCGTTGTGAGGACGTGATGATGTTAAATTATCCTTAAGCATCAAACGGGGAAGCTTTAAAAAGGGGCTCCGAGGGTTCTCCTCCCCCAGCTCTTTTCCTGGTGCTGTGTAAACCCACAGGAAACTGCCTCAAGCCCAGGGAAASCAGTGCAGCCCGAGCAGGGCCCCTCCTGGTGGGAGTGAACGCTTCCCAGATGCTGCTGCTTTAAGGAATATCCTCACACTGGGTTTATAACGTTTTTTGAGGGATGCTTTAGCCCTGGGGAAATGGCACTGGTGGTTCTCCCTGGCCCCTGCGAGGCGGTTCCTGATGGGTGCAGGGCTCCGAGGAGCGGGGCTGACTGCTGGTGGCAGCCCTGGAGCAGCCGCTGTCCCTGGGGTGGGCACAGGACCCTCACCCTGCCCTTCCCAGCCGGTCCCGGTCCCAGACCCAGACTCTGATCCTGCCCTGCCCGACCTGTCCCGGTCCCGGACCCTCATCCTGCCCTGCCCGGCCGGTCCCGGACCCTCATCCTGCCCTGCCCGACCGGTCCCGGACCTTTATCCTGCCCTGTCCGACCGATCCCGGTCCCGGACCCTGATCCTGCCCTGCCCGACCGGTCCCGGACCTTTATCTTGCCCTGCCCGGCCGATCCCGGTCCCGGACCCTCATCCTGCCCTGCCCGACCTGTCCCGGACCTTTATCCTGCCCTGGCCGGCCGATCCCGGTCCCGGTCCCTCATCCTGCCCTGCCCGGCCGGTCCCAGACCTTTATCTTGCCCTGTCCGGCCGGTCCCGATCCCGGTCCCGGTCCCTCATCCTGCCCTGCCCGGCCGATCCCGGACCTTTATCTTACCCTGCCCAGCCGATCCCGGTTCTGGTCCCGGACCCTCATCCTGCTCTGTCCGACCTGTCCCGGTACCGGACCCCTGTCCTGCCCTGCCCGGCTGGTCCCGGACCCTGACCCGGTCCCTCATTCTCCGGCCGGTCCCGATCCCGATCCCGGTCCCGGACCCTCATCCTGCCCAGCCCGGCCGGTCCCGGACCTTTATCCTGCCCTGTCCGACCGATCCCGGTACCAGACCCCTGTCCTGCTCTGTCCGACCTGTCCCGGTACCGGACCCCTGTCCTGCCCTGCCCGGCCAGTCCCGGACCCTGACCCGGTCCCTCATTCTCCGGCCGGTCCCGATCACGATCCCGTTCCCGGACCCTCATCCTGCCCAGCCCGGCCGGTCCCGGACCTTTATCCTGCCCTGTCCGACCGATCCCGGTCCCGGTCCCTCATCCTGCCCAGCCCGGCCGGTCCCGGACCTTTATCCTGCCCGGCCCGGCCGATCCCGGTCCCCGTCCCGGACCCTCATCCTGCTCTGTCCAACCTGTCCCGGTCACGGTGCCGGACCCTCATCCTGCTCCCCGATCCAGCCGCGCCTCAGGCTGCGCAGCCGAGCCCAAATTCGGCCTTTTTTTTACCAAAGAAAGCCTCGCTCCGTGTGCCCTCCCTCCAGCTCCCACCCCCATGTGCTGTCAGCGTGGGAYCCTCTCTGGTGCCCGTGTCCCGTCCCAGGAGCGATGTTCTCGCTGTGTGTGAGCCGTGCATGCCCGGAGGAGCTCTCGGCACTCGGGACCGTTTTTTGTTGGCTTAAACTAAAACTCTGTGAACTTAACCATGTTTGTGTGAGACTTAATTCTGAGCATGTGTGTTCATGTGTGTCCCGTGGTTGTTTCCTCTACTCAGAGCGCTGCTTACAAACACCACACAGTTAGCCTTGGCATGCTGCACTCTGGAGGGGTTCCAGCCATGCATGCCGGCCGAAGCATGACTTTAAACTTGCAGCCTAAATCTAAATTTGAAAACCAAATGCTTCAAGAGCTACCTCTACCGCAAGTAAGTATGGGCTAGCCAGCATTCCCGGCATTGCCGGTTAATTCGCGATCTTTGCTTCGTCCCGGTTTAGCTTCTGCCTCCTCCTCCTCCTCCTCCTCCCGTGCTTTTCGATGCCGCATCCGCAAAGCGGGGCCGGCAGGGATGCGGTTCGGCCCCCGGCTGCCCTCGCTTTTCGGATTCCGGAGCTCCCCGGCTGTCACTGCTGCTGTCCTGCTCTCCTCGCACACACTTTGCTCTGTGGGTTTGCTCTGGGGCCCTTTGATCCTGGAAAAATAGGTGTGGAAGTGTTAAATGTGCGTTTAAACGGGCTGCAGGAGACAGGGATTGGAAGATTTGAGCATTAATTGGATGGGCTGCAGTACCTGATGAGTTTCGAACGCCTTACCACACCCAAAACCATTTTAAATTTTGAGTAACGCCTAAAAAAGAGAGAATATTCTCCTCATTTATTTAGTGTGGATCTTATATCGATTATCAATATATCGCTGACAARCACAGACACACAAAACCGTGTATCCCCAGCAAATATTTGTAGGGAGGCGCACCCAGGACCAGGCAGAGAGGGCCATTCCTGCGGGATTTTCAGCACCACCGAGGGGCTGCTGAGACCTTTCCATGCCCCAGGCCATTCCTGCGGGATTTTCAGCATCACCGCGGGGATGCTGAGACCTTTCCGTGCCCCTGGCCATTCCTGCGGGATTTTCAGCATCATCGAGGGGATGCTGAGACCTTTCGGTGCCCCAGGCCATTCCTGCGGGATTTTCAGCATCACCGAGGGGATGCTGAGACCTTTCCGTGCCCCAGGGCAGGGCTCAGCCTCCCCCTGCCCTGGCACAGCAGCTCTGTGAGGAACCAAAGGGCAGCAGCGATGCCCGGGGGAGGTGCCAGGCTCGGCTCAGAGCTCAGCTTTGAGGAGAGCAGGATCACCCAGCAGCAGCAGGAGCTCAGCCCTCGGCCCCACACGCTCTCCAGCCGCAATTGGGGCGGTCCCGGCCGGGGGAGCCGTGTCGGGYCCGTCCCGCTGTCCCCACCCTCCATCCTCTGTCACCTCCACCCCTCCTGGCTGTGTGTGCTGGCCAGGGGTGACATCCCCGTGTTGTCGTCGCTTCCAAGACCTTGTCTGTCTGCTCGGGTACCGTTCCTGTCCCCGGACCCCACAGAATGGTGCTGCTCCCTGTYCCCGTTAGGATTGAGGTGTCCCATAGCCCTTGCGGGGTTTGAGGCTGTAGGTGAACATTAATGATGGATTCATATCGGGAAATTCGGGAATATTCTCCCTGGTGCATCCCGGGGCGTGGTCTGACRTGGGTTATTCTGCTTTTCTACCTCACCAACATTCCATTGCTCCATGTCCATAGAAACTGTGATGCTGAATTGCCTTAAGGGGTTGTTCTCTTGCTCTGCTGTTGGGGGGAAATGATTCTTGGGAAAGATTCCTGCAGTGGGGGAAGGAACTGTTGTTGGAAAAACACTGTGAATGTCGGGGATTGTTTGATTTGATTGCTTCACACCTTGCACAGAACTTGCATTTCCTAAAGAATCCAGGCCACAGCACTTTAACCCTTTCCTCTCCTCCCTCCCTCCCGTGGCYTGGATTCAAGAGAGTAATGAGTGAGGTCCGACTGTCAGGAGATCGACTTTAACCGTGAATTACTTTGAAAATGGTTGTGRCATCAATCTACTCCGTGTAGAAAATGCGGGAAGCGCTGCTTCTCCTCTCTTCCCCGATTTGGTGGAAGTKGGGCGGGGTTGCAGCCTGTCCCAGCTCCAATATTGCAAGGGGACGGATTCCTTAGGCTGCAGCAAATGAAATCTGGGATTTCTCTGTGAAAATCTGGGAGCACCCTCTGCCTTTTCCYTTTTCCYTTTTCCCTCTGCAGTGCAGATTYCCCTCTGCAGAGCMGTCYCAGSGTTTTCCAGTGGGATCYTTYCCATTTCTGGCGCCCAGCTCCYAGAAAAAAAAGTTTTAAAAATCGGTGGTTTGGTGCAGCGCATTCCCAGAATGGGAATTCCCACTTTCCTTGGAATGAGCCTGGGGAGGGCACCCAGGAATCTCCAGGAGTGATCCCTCGGGGTGTGAGCACATTCCCGGGACAGCTCCAGAGGGAATGGCTCATTTTTCCATTTCAGTGAGGGGAAAAAAAAAAGATCGGTAAGGAAATCCTGGTCTTTAAATGGGAAATGCTTTTCCACTGTTTTTTAATAGAAGGAAAATCACAACTTCTGTGACTTCTCTGGAAGGTTTCTTGAAGGATGAAAGAATTAGAGTGAAGGTTTTCTTTCTTTTTAAATAATCAAGGTTGGATTTTTTTTTCTCTTCACCTCAGAGGTGTGATTTAAATCGTAATTTCCTTCTATTTACTTTTCAACTTCTGTTAAAGAATAGTTTTTAATGGACAAATTCCCAGCTTTCATACTTCAAAGCAATGAAACAATTCTTCAGCCTTCTAAAGAAGTGTATCCTGATATTTTTTTTAGTCTAAGCTGGAGAAGGAATTGCTGGGATGGCAGAGGGGAAGAACAGATATTTTTTTGTCTCTTTGCAGATTCCCATTAATCAGAACTCAATAGGCACTTACACAGTGCCAGGTGCTCTCAGTGCAGGACAATGCTGGAATTTTGGGAAGTCTGACACCCAAGAGGTGTTGGGAAAATTCCCAGTGATGATTAAGAAATAGAGAGATGGAAAATCAGGACGGGGCGGGAAAAATCCAAACCCCCTCAAAAGTCCTGAAAACAGAAGGGAAACAACCAGGGGGAAARTAAAGGTGGAACAGCAGAGGAACGGGAATGATAACCATTGAGGRAAGTTTCTCTGTGTGTTCTGGCCATTCGTGCTGAGGAGAACATTGAATTCCAGGTTAATATTGCACTGAGATGGCCCTGGAGGTTTGGGAGCTGCGCACGGAGCCGGCACAACCTCGGCACCGCCACCAGGGGAGATGTGCTGCACAAAACACAAACATCTCCCTTTGCTGGGTGGCAAATCCTTCCTAAAAAAAAAATAAAATAAAAATAAAAAAAAAATTAACAAAATAGAAAATCCCGCTGCTGCAACGAGCGGCGAGAAAGTTCCGAGCCCGGAATTAACGGCAGACTGCTCAAATCTGGAATTCTGCCAAAAATCCGTTCCTCTGAAAGTAACGAGCCCYGCTGAACGAATTTTCTCTTGTCTCTCATCATTCATTATTCTCGCTCTTCCTGCCCCGAACCTCTCAAGCCCTCCTGCTTGCAGAGAGCCCCGCGGTGCCGGTGCCGGTGGCGGTGGCGGTGCCGGTGCGGAGCGGGCGCGGTGCCCGCGGTGCCGGGCACGGTCCGGGTGTTGCGGCCGAGCGAGCGCGGGGCCGCTCGGTGCCGCTGACTCAAGGCTGCCCTGCCTTTGTGAACAGAGCCCGTCGCAGCAGAGCGGCCTCCTGGACAACGGGCAGGACGAGGTGGCCGTGGGCAGCCCCTGGAACCCGTACCCGCTGGGCAGGCGGGATGTGCCCCCCGACACCGTCACCAAGAAGGTAAGGGGTGCCCGGCACGGCCCGAGCCCGCCCGGGATGGGGCAGGACAGCTCTGGGCAGCGCCTGGGGTGTGCTCGAGGGTTAAACAGGAATTGCTGGGTGTTCAGGGTGTTGTGCCCGCCCGGTGCCCCGCGGGGCTGGGCTCTGAGCGGGCACGGAGCGCGGGGCAGGGCTGCTGCTTGTCCTGCACGGCTCATCCCGAGGTTTCTTCCCAGGGTTTCATCCCGAGGTTTCATCCCAATGATATTGTTCAGGAATGGCTCCCATCCTTGTCCTGCAGGGTTTCATCCCAAGCTTTCGTTCCCAGGTGTCATCCTGGGATTTCATCCCAATGCTATTTTTCAGGAGTAGCTCCCATCCTTGTCCTGCTCAGTCTCATCCCGAGGTTTCATCCCAATGATATTTTTCAGGAATGGCTCCCATCCTTGTCCTGCAGGATTTCATCCCAAGGTTTCATCCGAATTATATTGCTCAGGAATGGCTGCCATCCTTGTCCTCCACAGTCTCATCCCAAGGTTTCTTCCCAGGGTTTCATCCCGAGGTTTCTTTCCGAGGTTTCATCCCAATGATATTTTTCAGGAATGGCTCCCATCCTTGTCCTGCAGGATTTCATCCCGAGGTTTCATTTTCATCCCAAATTTCACCCCAATGACGCTGTTCAGGGCTGGGTGTAGCCCCTTTGGCTGATGCCCTCGCAGGGGAAGGATCCCATACCCGACCCCAGTGCCGGTGGATGTTGAATTCGGTGGATGTTGAATTCCAGCGCTCGCAGCTCCCCTGGGTGCCCCTGCCAGCCCTGAGCACAAAGCTGGAAAATCCCAAAAAYCCGGGATAATCCCAGGGATCGCTGTCCCGGGCTCCATCCGCCCATCCCGGGGCCGAGTGCCAGCAGGAGGAGTCCCGATGTCACCCTGTTCCTGCTGCGTGTGACAATCCCGGGACTTCCCGGCTTTTATCCCTTGGCTCCTGGGGGAAGGGAAATCCCGGAGAATTCCTGGGAAATGGGAAACAAAGACCCGGAGATCCCTCCCGGGCACAGAGGGGGAGCGGATGGTGTGGGATGGAGAACGCTCTGGCAGCCGAGCTGTTTGCGCTCTGATCTGCAAGGAAGAAATTGGGATGGGAAATATCAGAATCGCGATTTTCCAAGCTCCGAGAGCCGAGCCGGACCGGGCTGGGTGGATTTTAGGGTCAGACCGGGGCTGGGTGGGTTTTCAGGATCGGGCCGGGGCTGCTCAGTTTTTTAGGATCAAGCCGGGGCTGGGCAGGTTTTAAGATCGGGCCGGGGCTGAGCAGGGTTTTAGGATCGGGCCGGGACTTAGCAGTTTTTTTAGGATCGCTCCGGGACCGAGCGGTTTTTCAGGATCGGGCCGGGAAGGTTTTTAGGATCGGGCCGGGGCTGGGCAGGATTTTAGGAGCCGGTCGGAGCTGAGCAGGATTTTAGGATCGGGCCGGGGCTGGATCAGTTTTTAGGATCGGTCAGGAACCGGGAGGGTTTTCAGGATCGGGTCCGTGTCTGAGCAGGATTTTAGGATCGGGCCGGGACCGGGCGGGTTTTTAGGATCGGTCCGGTGCCGGTCAGTTTTTTAGGATCGCGCCGGGACAGACCGGGTTTTTTAAGGTCAGACCAGGGCTGGGCAGTTTTTAGGATCGGTCCGGAACTGGACAGGTTTTTTTATGATCGGTCAGGAACCGGGCGGGTTTTTAGGATCGGACCGGGACCGAGTGGGTTTTTAGGATCGGGCCAGAACCGGGCGGGTTTTTAGAATCGCGCCGGGCAGTTTTTTAGGATCGGGCCGGGACCGGGCAGTTTTTTAGGATCGGTCCAAAACCGGGCGGGTTTTTAGGATCGCGCCGGGCAGGTTTTTAGGATCAGTCCGGGATCGGGCGGGTTTTTTAAGATCAGACCGGGGCTGGTCAGTCTTTTAGGATCGCGCCGGGACCAGGCGGGTTTTTAGGATCGCGCCGGGACTGGGCGGGTTTTTTAAGATCAGACCGGGACTGGACAGTTTTTTAGGATGGCGCCGGCCCCAGCGGGCCGCCCCGCTGACAGAAGCATGCCCACAGGCAGGTAGCCACATCCAGACGCTGATGGGGTCGCAGAGCCTGCAGCACCGCAGCCGCGAGCAGCACTACGAGGGGGCCATGAACAAGGTGACGATCCAGCAGTACCAGCCGCCGCTGCCCATCCAGATCCCCGTGTCGCAGAGCTCCCGGGCCCCGCAGCCCCAGCGCTGCCTCATCCAGACCAAGGGCCAGCGCAGCTCCGACGCCTACCAGGAGCAGGTGAGAGCCCGCGGAGCCCGGCGGGGATAGGCCCGGCTTTACCGGGGATTGGGGAACCGCGGGCGAGAAAGGGGCGGCTGCGC